ATTTTTTTTTTTAAAGTAGGTTCTATGCCCAGCATGGAGCCCAATGTGGGGCCTGAACTCAGGACCTTGAGATCAAGACCTGAGCTGAGATCAGGAGTCAGACACTTAACTGACTGAGCCACCTAGGCACCCCCCAGAACGAGTCTTTAAAATATGAGATCACGTCATGCTTTAGCTCAAAATCCCCCATTAGCTTCTCACCTAAAACTTAAAACTGAAGTCCTTACCATGACCTAGAAGGCCATACGTAATCCAGTCTTCTTACCCACTACCTTATTACCTATATTAGAGTTCTCCAGAGAAATAGAACCAGTAGGAGATTTTATATACATACATACATACATACAAGGAGAGATAATGTTTCAAGGAATTGAGGAACTGGCTCACATTATTGTGGGAGGGTAGCAACTCTGAAATCTGTAGGGGAGGCTGGCAGGCTGGAAACTCTTGGGCAGAGGTTGATGCTACAGTCTTGAGGCAGAATTTCTGCTGACTCACAGTGTCTTAGTTCAGGCTGTTACAGCACAATACCAAAGGCCAGTGGATTATAAGCAACCGAAATTTTTCCTCCCAGTTCTAGAGACTGGGAACTCCAAAATCAAGCCACCAGGATTTAGTGTCTGGTGAAAGCCTGCCTTCTGGTTCACGGCCAACCAGCCTGTCTTCTTGCTGTGTCTTCACATGGCAGAAGGGGCAAGGGAGCTCTCTGGTATCTCTTTTACAAGAATACTAATCCCATTCATGAGGGCCCCATCCTCATGAACTCATCATCTTCCAGAGGCCCCACTTCCGCATACCATTACTTTGAGGATTAGGTTTTAACATAGGAACTTTGTGGAGGGGGTACACAAACATTCAGTCTATAGCACAGAGAAAGCTCAGTTTTGTTTTCAAGGCCTTCTAACTGATTGGATAAGGCCCATCCATAGCATTAAGAATAATTTTGTCTTATTTTTTTTTTAAGATTTTATTTATTTATTTGACAGAGAGAGACACAGCGAGAGAGGGTAACACAAGCAGGGGAAGTGGGAGAAGGAGAAGCAGGCCTCCCGCAGAGCAGGGAGCTCGATGTGGGGCTCAATCCCAGAACCCTGGGATCATGACCTGAGCCAAAGGCAGATGCTTAATGACTGAGCCACCCAGGCGCCCCTAATTTTGTCTTATTTAAAGACTATTCATTATAGATGTTAACTACAAAATACCTTCACAGCAATACCTAGATTAGTGTTTGAAAAGTTGAAAACTATAGCTTAGCCATGTTGACCTGTAAAACTCTCACACTACCTTCACAATCTTTTCAATTCACTCCAGCCATACCAGTCCCCTTGATGATCCTCAACCCACCAGACATGTTCCTATCTGAAGACTTTTGTACCTTACTGTTTCCTCTCCAGAATGCTCTTCTACAGACAGCCACATGGCTACCTCTATCTTCCCTTTAAGTCTTTTTCCTTAGGTCTTTTCAGAACTTCTCACTCCATATCTAAAATGGCAAACCTTCCTACACAGCCATGCCCTATAAGATTCCACTTCTCCCTCTGTCCTCTATTTTTCTCCTAATCCTTACTATTGTGAAGCATACTATATATTTTGCTTATTTATCTTCCTTATTGTCTACATTGCCCCTAGAGCAAAGCTTCTTAAGGGAAGTGATTTGTTTTTATATATTTTGTTCAATGCTGTATCCCCAATGCCTGGAATAGTCCCTAAGACAAACAAAGGGTTTGATATGTATTTGTTAAATGAATGCCCATTTATTCTATTATTCCCTCTCCCAAATATCTCTTTGCCAACATGTTCATTCAGGCCACCACCATTTCTGGCCTGGGTTACTGAGCAGCCATCCAACTGGTCTCCCTCCATCTATTCTTCCCCTTCTTCCAATGCATTCTCCATCCTACAGCATTTCTAAATCTGATGATAGCAATCCCCTGCTCAAAACCTTTCACAAGCCCTCCTTGATGCTGAGACTCTGAGTGACTGAGCTTCTGATAAGTTCTCTGCCTTCTCTCTGCTCCACACTCTGGAATCCAAGATGGACCTTCCTAGTCCTTGAAGTCATGATCTCTCACCTCCCAGTGCCTCTACACATGGTTTCCTATATCTAGAACATTCTTCACCTTGTGGCCAACCCCTGCTCGCCCTTTAGGTCCCATTTATGGCTCACCTTCCCCACCCCACCCCCATCTTCAGATCTAGTGATGCTCACATAGCTCCTTATATTTAGGATCATCGTTGCACTTTGCACCAGGTGAAGAGTAAAAGGGCAAGAGATTTCTATTCCCCCAAGGAAATGGGTAGCCAGAAAACAGAGGTAATCACTGTATAATACTTTGACAGTAAGATATGAAAGATGGGATAGCAAACAGGCGTGGGGTGGAAAAATATTTCACAGAATATTTTTACAATGGTAGAGAACAGGAGTTGAAAGCAAAAGAGACAGGTTCTGTAGGCAGGAAGAAGTTAGAATTAATAGGGAAAGAATAACTAGAGGAACGAGGAAAGAAATATTGAGAAGTAGATCAAGACCCTCTCTTTGCTACTATAAGGAAAGAAGTTGGATTGATATGCAGAGATGAAGCAAGGGGTTTCATAAACCAAAAATATGCTGAGACCTCTATAAGATGTGAACTTGGGGATTGTTTGGATAAAAACTAGGTTTCGGGGCACCTGGGTGGCTCAGTAAGTTAAGCATCTGCCTTCGGCTCAGGTCATGATCCCAGGGTCCTGGGATTGAGCCCCACATCGGGCTCCCTGCTCAGTGGGGAGCTTGCTTTTCTCTGTCCCTCTGCCCCTCACCCCTGCTTGTGCACTCTCTCTCTCTCAAATAGATAAATAAAATCTTAAAAAAACAAACAAACCTAGGTTTAGGAGCCTCAAGAAGTTTACAAGATATTTAAGACTACCTAACACTGCTTTATCAGTTTGGCAGTACACAGAACATTTGACGATGTACTAATGAACTCTCCAGAAAGGAGGGGAAAAGTATTTATTTGAAGAGATTATATTCCTCAACTTGTACTTGGCAGATTACTATAGCTAGATTAAACAAACAGTGGGTTATAGTAATGTACATAAATCCTATAACTTTATCATTTCATGGTCTCCAAAGAGTGGTATTTCCTGATAACCAAGGTTTCTCTTGAGCATATTTTTCTTGTACTGTTATTTGTAAACACTATATTAGCTACTCAAAACTGAAATAACTGAAATTTTGTATCATTTCCCCTAAACTTGTGAATTCTGGTAAGGCCATGAAAATATACACAGAAAAATATACTCTGTCCCTGTGTATTTGATTAATTTAGGTCATTTAAGTGGAGTCATGCAATATTTGTCCTTTTGTGGCCCTAATTTCACCTAGCATAATGTTTGTACGGTTCATGCATGTTGTAGCATGTATCAGAATTGCATTCATTTAAAAAAAGGAATAATATGGCCTTGTATGTATATATTACATTTTGTGTATCCATTCATCTCTTCATGGACACTTGAGTTGTTTCTACTTTGGAGGTGTTGGAAGTCGCACCACTTTTATTAGCCCTTTGGCTAAGATCAAGTGGAAATCGCATCACTTTTAAGTGGAGACTTGGCTCCTGATCTAATGCTCATTCCCATAGTATCACAGAGGGAATTGATTGCTTTATATAACCTCGAATCTCCTCCAAACTTATGAGGTTTTCAGGGAAATGGGCATCTCCTGTAAAATAATTAGTTCACTGAAATACTGATGCTGAGCTTTCATGAATAAATGAATCACACTAAGGTTGGTTGGTCCATACTTTAAGTCTCCTGAAGATAATATCTCTTTCTCCTTTTCCTTCGATTAAACACACACACACACACACACACACACACACACACAATGGTTTACAGGGAGATACCAAGAGACTACCAAAAGCTGATGCACTCTCTTTAGAATTATTTCTAGAGGTGAAACTTCACTGTGCAACACAGCACAGAACTGCTTCTCGGTAAGGAAGTCCACAGAGCACTTTCTCCAGGATTCCATTGTCCCTGTGCCAAGCTTTGGGTAGCAATTGCATCACTTCCAAACTCAGGTGTTTCCAACCTACTAGAACACGTGGACAAAGCCTGCGGCAAATCTGGCTTCTGCCAGTCCCATCCACACTTGGAGCGCAGCTCTTTCCGGGATCTCTGTGCAGAGGGTGGCTGGCATTAGACAAGGACTGAGCCAGAGAAGAATACAGAGCAGAGCCATGAATATCATCTTGGGTCTCCTCCTGCTTCTGTTCACCATCATCTACTCCTACTTGGAGGCACTGGTGAAGGCTTTCTTTCCCCGAAGGAGAAAATCTGTGGCTGGGGAGGTTGTTCTCATTACAGGAGCCGGGCATGGAATAGGCAGGTGGACTGCCTATGAATTTGCAAAACGGAAGAGCCGACTGGTTCTGTGGGATATTAATAAGGTAATGCATTCACTTGCCCATCTTTTAAAGTCACAAGTAAGACATGTTGTAAAAATTATTTGACTTAGCAGCTGCTTACCTTTGTATTTTTCTTTTTCAATGTTTCATAAACTCTCCAGTGCCATATTTTACATATGCATTGGGATGGTTTGACAAAGGGAACATAACTGAGAACTAAGCAGTGATTTTTTTTTTTATGCCATCATATGCAGGTTGAGAACACAGACTCGGAGCCAGGCTACTTCCAAGCTTCCCGTTTCCTTATCTTTTTGAAAAAATATTTTATTTATTTATTAGAGAGAGAGAGATAGCAAGAGAGAGCACTAAGTGGGGGGGAAGGGTGGGGAGAGGGAGAAGCAGGCTCCGCGCTGAGCAAGGAGCTCAGTGCAGGACTCGATCCCAGGACCCTGGGACCATGACCTGAGCCAAAGGCAGGTGCTTAACCGACAGAGCTACCCAGGCGCCCACTGTTTCCTTATCTTTGAAATGGAAATAATACCTCACAGAATGGGCAAGAACAGGGGTCAGCAAACTACAGCTACGGGGCCAAACCTGGTCCTTGGGCAGGGTGTTGAGCGAGGAATGTTTTTTATATTGTTAAAAGCATGTCAAAGCAAAACCAGATAAAAAACCAAAAAGAACATAAGACAGAACTTCTTAGTGCCTCCCCTCATATCCACACAATCCTAAAATATTTACTCTCTGGCAATTTACAGAATAGTTTGTGGACTCCTGGGCAAGAGGATTAAACAAGTGAATATTTTAAGTGCTTAGAACAATGCCTGGCCATAGTAAACATTAGTCGTCTTAAATAAAACCCACAAGCAGTGGGTCAGGCTTTCTCTTGAGCATTCATATTTTTCTTGTACTGTTATTTGTAAACACTATATTAGCTACTCAAAACTGAAATAACTGAAATTTTGTATCATTTCCCCTAAACTTGTGAATTCTGGTAAGGCCATGAAAATATACACAGAAAAATGTTACAGGATTTTAAGATTGGAAAAACTGTAAAGTTTTAGGAATCAGGTTTTCCACAAATCACAGTGAGATCTTAATTGCCATTATATTACTACTCTCTGATGTTCTTTGCTATCACATCCAGTTGGCCCCTATTTCTTAAAGCCTTCAAAAACGTCATTTGGGGGCACCTGGCTGGCTCAGTTGGTGGACCATGTGACTCTTGATCTTGGGGTTATAAATCCGAGCCCCACATTGAGTGTAGAGATTACTTAAAAGTAAAATCTTTAAAAAGAAATGTCACCTGAACTTAGAAAAGTAGTTCTTCTCTGGTTCTTTCCAGACAGTAAAGAATACTATACAAGGAAAAGTTGATACATTTCCACGTAACAGACACAGGCATTTAATAGATGAGTTGATATACATGAAAGTGATTTGGCATCGGCTTGGTCCTTGAAGAGATTCCAAAGCATTTTTTAGAAGAGGACAAGAATTTACCAATTGAGACAACTGTTGTCTGCTGTTCTCAAGCATTCATCAAAAAGATAGAAATAAGTATAGATCCATGAAAAAGACTTGATAAAATCTAACCTTTGGATCTTTCCAGATGTGTGTTTTGGGGAGAGGATTATACTTACTACATTTTTTAAAGTTCCAGTGACAAGGAATAAAAATGACTTATTTAAGATAATGCCTGAAGGATGAGTCACCTAACTTCACAGGATTTCTTTGAATCCTTGGATTTTATGGTTAAACATTAAAGGTATTAAATGATTCACTCTAAGGCTGCAAATGTAGCTCAGATCTCCTTTACCTGTGGAAGGTGCCAACTCCCTTTTTGTTAAGGCTGGCTTCTTTTGCCTTACCTAAGGAATCATGCTAGTGGTTTGCCCTCACTCAATCTAAACTGTTGCTTTAGGAAAACTGAAAAGTGGAGTAAACAATGCAAGCCGGAGTTGAAGCTAAAGCAACTATTTTGCTTACAAAAAGACAAGACATTACATTTTGCAGTTCTGTATCTCGGTTATAAGACTGACACATTTTTGATTCTTCAAAGCCTCTGACGAAAGCTCTGGTTACTAATGCTCTCTACTGACCATGAATCGAGAGACAAAAGAATGCATGGTGGGGGGGCGCCTGGGTGGCTCAGTTGTTAAGCGTCTGCCTTCGGCTCAGGTCATGATCCCAGAGTCCTGGGATCGAGCCCCGCATCGGGCTCCCTGCTCAGCGGGGAGCCTGCTTCTCCTTCTCCCACTCCACCTGCTTGTGTTCCCTCTCTCCTGTCTCACTCTCTCTCTCTGTCAAATAAGTAAATAAAATCTTAAAAAAAAAAAAATTATAAGAATGCATGGTGGGTCTTGTAATCTGACAATGAGCAAGCTACCAGGTGAAGCCTAAATTGGTGAAAGAGCTCCTGTCCTCCCTCCACACTCTTCTGCAAGCCCCAAAAGGCTATGAGGGGACACTGACTCTGTGACTACATGTCCTAATTTCTGTTCGTGTCTATTCTTTGGGATTTCAGGCTTCTGCTCCGGGGCTTAGCCTGAGGTAGTGGGATATGGAGGACACAAGGGAGGTGGTGTGCTGGCTAAGGGAACCCCCCTGCCACTCATTCAGGGATTGTCCCAAGCAACAGCCACACAACTAACATCCCAGTGTTAGAAAAGGGCTTGCAGCTGTCCTTGCCTCTTTATCACAGAGAAGAGTCTGTAAATTGTGAGAGGAAAAAGTGGAATTTTATTGAGATAAATCCACAGAGGTCAAAAAAAATTAACACAGGTCAAAACTTGAAAAGAATTCTCATTTTCCAGAAATGCAGGTCAAGAAACATCAGGACAATTTTACCTTAGGAAAAAAGGTCTTTGAATTTAGGCTGAAAAGTTTCTCCATCGCCATGTCCTGGAGTTGTTACAAAGTTACTATAGTTATTATTATACTTGCGAAATAGTTACATAGATAAGACTCTATCCAGTGGCCCTTCCCCATTTTCACTCCAGAACACTTGCACACAAGATTATATCCCCAAGAGTAGTTTGTCTCCCTATGAAAGTCTTCCTCAAATAAGGATCCCTCTTTCACCTTCCCTCCTAGAGGGTTAAATTAGAATCATCGAGAAACCTATGACAGGCAGAGGCAAAGAGTTTAAAATTACCACTCGTTTAGAGTTGCTTTACTACCTATTATATGGTTGGTGCTCAACAAATATATGTTAAATGAAAAACTGAGTTTTCTCTTCTTTGTCCTCAAACATTTCCATGACCCCACAAAGAGCAACATCTTTCAAGCATGTTCTAGCTGTGAGAGCAGCCTGCTTTAGAAAAACTGCCTCCTGGAGAACCCTCTCACCCAAGATAAAAAGCTAGAGAAACATGAAGGACTTTTTGTTTGTTTCCGCTTTGACTCAGAATGGCTGTTGAGAATGAAGCCAAACAAGGTGAAAACACGTGACCGGTAGGAGCCCTCACTGGCAGAAAAGCCAGGTAAAATCTCTTGGCCCATTACGCAAGCAGCGTCTCTCGTGAAACTTCGTGCAAACAAGGAGGGCATTTTGGACATGAATTTTAATCTTTAAAGAAACTCCTTCTCCAGTTCTTTCTCTCCCACTCTTGTCCCCTAACTGACCTACCTCCTTTTGCATTTGTCTTTTCCAATTACAGCGCGGTGTTGAGGAAACGGCAGCCGAATGCAGGCAACTGGGGGCCACTGCGCACGCGTATGTGGTGGACTGCGGTAACCGAGAAGACATTTATAACTCTGTAAAGCAGGTGAGACTTCAGAATACAAATTTCTTCACATAATTTTGTATCCATTGACATAGAAAATGTAAAGGTTCTTTTTGGCTGCCTGATTTAGATTAGAACTGAGGAAGTTGTATGAAGAAGGAAGGGCATTTATTTTTTCCTTGCATAGAATCCACTCAACTCTGCCTATTCTTACTGTTTCATATTATCGGTCAATTTCTTTCTGATCAGAAGTTTGAGCAGTGGTACGGAGTGACAGAGAAGAGATTTAGTCCCAGGAGAAAGGATCACTTTCTAGTTTCAATTTAGTCCTATTACTTTTGCAGTAATTCCTTTTTTATCTGTAATTTTTTTTCCCTAGGGGATTTTATTTATGTTGCTGCTAATCTAGTCTTCTACAGAAAATGAATTGTTAATAGTTATTATAACAGTTTTTAAAAGAGTAGATATCAAATACAGTGAACCAAGCACTCTGATAAACGACTGCATCCTTGGATCTCTACAATAACCCTACTGACCTCATTTGCCAGATAAGCAAAGGGAGGTTGAGAGGGCTTAGCCAGTCCATGGTCACATGGCTAGTAGGTGGTAGAACGAAGATTACTCAGCACTAAGAACATATTTGGTCAGGACTGATAATATCAATTAATCGACACAAATATTAATTTCACTTTATAGACAAGTTTTTTTCCTGCCTGAACTCTGAGAGCTCTCATCAAGTGGATTAAAGAATCTAATCCCTGGGTGACATAAGCCCCAAAACTTTGAGTTTCTTTTCTTTCTTTTTTTTTTCCCCCAAAACTTTGAGTTTCTATAACACATCCAGTGAATGTGTTTTTTTTCCATTTCAAAGGTAAAGAAAGAAGTGGGAGATGTAACCATCCTGGTGAATAATGCTGGGACAATATATCCAGCTGACCTTCTTAGTACCAAGGATGATGAGATTACCAAAACTTTTGAGGTCAACATCCTAGGACACTTTTGGGTGAGTGTGAGAAACATTTCTGGTTTGTGCATATCTCACACCTCCCCCTAAGGTACATGAAGTTTGTAGTTAAGTTCACACCTTTATATTTGCCTTAAATCAAGAATCACCAAATTAATTTGAGTGGGGGAGTCTCTGACAGAAGGGCACAGAGTTTGAAAGGACACAACTCACCAGAATGTAGGCTCGTTGGTCTCTCTTATCCAGGAATCTAACACAAAACATGGCCTGGATGGACCAAGTGCTCAATATATTTGTGGAGCTATGCTAAGGGTATCAGTGTACATCTTTTCAGGGCTTTAGAGGAAATATATACAATATACATTCACTTGTGACCTCATACCATGGAATTTTAGAACTGAAAGGACAACATAAATCACTACTTGAATGTATATCGGGGTTAGGAACTTTTCTGCATGGGACTCAGATAAGCTCTAGGTCCATGCCTGAACTTAGATATATGGCTCTACAGACCTCTTATAATTGGTTATCAGAAAACTGAAATATGACTCTGTAGAAAGCATTTATATGGATTAATCTTCCAGTGCCTCAATATTAGGTATAGAACCTAGAGCAAATCTGGACTCTGGAAGAGAAGAAAAAGATATGTGTCCCCCCGCACCTGCCCCAACCACTCACACATGCTAATGAGGATTGATTATTATGCCCACCAAACTACATAGAGACCTCATGTGTTGGTTATCTATAGCTGCATAACAAATTATATCAAAATTTAGTGGCTGAAAGCAACAATAAGTGTTTGTTTTCCTTTCAGAGTTTCTGTGGGTCAGAAATTTAGGAGTGGCTTAGTTTGGCAGTTCTGGCTCTGTGGATTTGTATAGGGTCCATAGGGTGTGTTCATAAAATTCTCATAAAATATTGATATTTCTCTCAAAACAGTGAAAGCTTTTTGGAGATAAAGAATGACTTTTTGTTTCCTGTAACATCAATATATAATACACAATGCTACAAATAGGGAGATACTAAATCTAATCATGATGGATAATGATTGTGGATCAGGACAAAACCCAGCTTTTTCTACTTAACTTGATATAGTTACACAAGATTTCAATTCTTCTCATTAGAATGAGAAAGCCCCAAACCAAAAAAAAATTACATGATACCAGATTACCATAGGGGATCTTTTCGGTTCTGAAAACACTGAATTTTTCCCTTGATATTATTGCGATGATATATCCATAAAGGAGATATTTGATTCCTTCTGAAGGGAAGATGGGGGAATTTTTTTTTAAGATTTAATTATTGGGGCACCTGTGTGGCTCAGTTGGTTAAGTGTCTGCCTTTGGCTCAGGTCATGATCCTAAGGTCCCAGGATTGAGCCCCGCATTGGGCTCCCTGCTCAGCAGGGAGTCTGCTTCTCCCTCTGTCCCTCACCCTGCTCATGCTCTCTCTCTCAAATAAATAAATAAAACCTTAAAAAAAAAAAGATTTTTAAATTAAGTAACTTATTTAGAGAGAGGGAGAGAGAGAGCACAAGAGCACATGAGCAGGGGGAGAGGGAGAGAAAGAATCGCAAGCAGACTCTGCACCAAGCGCGGAACCCAACGTGGGGCTCAATCTCATGACCCTGAGATCATGACCTGAGCCAAAATCAAGAGTCAGACCCTGAACTGACCGAGCCACCCAGGCGCCCCAGGAAGGAAGGGGAAATATTAAGATGAGTTCTTAGCATGTGATACTTAGTACACAGCCCTCAATGCCACCTTAAACAAATACATTTCAATCTTTTTCATTTCTGTCATTTATATGGAAGTAATCATGGAATATTTCATTTCATCTTAGAAGTCTCAAATGCTATTTTTTCTTAAAAAGAGAACTACCTAATTTAGAAACCTAACACCTGTGCCGTTTTTTTTTTTCTTTCTGCAATGATCTTTAAGATCACAAAAGCACTTCTTCCGTCCATGATGAAGAGAAATCATGGCCACATTGTCACAGTGGCTTCAGTGTGTGGCCATGGAGTGATTCCTTATCTTATTCCATATTGGTAAGTATTATTTTCCAGCAATGATATAACTATATATTCTTTCAAGGGTTTATTAGACCTTAGATTCCAATCCTCGTGGCAGGGTTATTTACAGAATTTACATAGTAGTCTAGAATGAACTTTTACAAAATGACTTCTCCTAAAACAATGAAACTGGTTGTAATTGTTAAAATATTTTTAGATTTCTGAAAGCTCCTCTATAGAGCAATGAAATGTAATGCCAAGTATGTTTCCATCGTATCCTGGAATGAGTACATGTTGATAAAAGAAACAGGGAACCACAGACTAAGAAGTAAAACAGACAGAAGTCCAAATGAACATAAACGTGTGCATCACCTGCATACCCAAGATTAGCTAACCAGAGTGAGCCCTGCCCCAAAACATTTTCCACTGTGCTCGTGCCATGAAAGATGGTGTGTGTTGAGAGAGAGAGATTGAGAGAAAGCCTCTAGCTGATTAAAAGATATAGAGAGTACACTCCATGATCTACCAAGGACACAAAGAGAAAAGGTTGGGAGCCCTGAGGATACACTATTTGCAAAATCTCTTTTTCTTGTAAACTCCTTCAATGGCATCTCATTTGCTTACTTCGGCTTCATATCAACCTCATAGAAAATTTAACTTGGTAACATTTGGTCCAGTTCTTTTTGTAACAGCCAACACATGAGTATCAGTGGAAAGGTGTGGGTGTGGGTAATTAATAGATTTATTATGTACTTATACATCATATTCAAGGTTAAACTGAGTCATGGACAAAATTACTTCTGACGCTGAATGTAGTCACTATAGTTAAATTTCAGTGTCAGTTAGGGGTCATTGCACACACATGGTTGTTTCAAACGGCCTCTACCATCTTAAAACACAAGTAGGAATGTCACAGATTAAACATTTGCTATTGTTTTAATGTCTAGAAATGTGGAAACCCAATGTAATACTTTTCCTTTTTTGCTTCTCCCTTAAGAAAGCAGCTGGCCTTTAATTTTACTGTTTTTATTGTCACCTGGGTCAAAAATACAATGAACATTTACATAGATTCTTATAGGTAATGAAGTTATAAGGCATATGCTATACAATTTAATTCTCAAAACAGCCCTATATTTTATAACCTGCATTTAAAAGTGAGAAAATCAGGGCGCCTGGGTGGCTCAGTTGGTTAAGCGACTGCCTTCGGCTCAGGTCATGATCCTGGAGTCCCGGGATCGAGTCCCGCATCGGGCTCCCTG